GTCCGCTGTTGGATCTGATCTGGAAGATGCGGTGTTGAGGCGGAGCGCTGGACGAAGAAGATGGAAGGAGAAGGAAGGTTAGTTTCACGAGTGTAGAAAGGAATAGTACTTGCTTCCCTGCCTTATCCTCCACTTTTATACAAGGATAGGCGAGATAGGCACCCGTTGGAGTTCCCTTCGATTGCACCGAGCGAGAGCAGGAGTTAAGGCAAGGTCATGTCTCCCACAATCTTAGTGGAGCACGCTTCTCCCAGCGGAAGTAATGGTGATGGAACGGTGTTGGTACTTGGATGGAGAAAATTGACTCGACCATGCGACTCGGACCCTCTAGCACTAACCACGTGGTTTGGGGGAGACAAACCGCTAGACTATTTAGCGTAAGGCCCTCCTATGTCGATGGATTCAAACATCCTCTACGCTTGCCTTCTCACACCCTCAGATACGAACTGTATTTGCACATACTATTAGCAACCGCAATGGCTGAGCCTTCTGCAAAGCGCGCATGGATGGAGGAGGAGTCTGTGCCAGAAGCCAAGCGCCCACGGACGGATGAATCGGAGGATGCATCCGACTGCGCATTGATGGATGAATCGGAAGATGAAGCCATGCTTGATAGCATCAATGAAGATCCATTCAATCCCTTTGAATATGGCAACGCATGGGCGCTTAGCCTCTTCCAGACGAGTTATTAGAGGATGAACGTTGTGCTAATCGAGCTCGGTCTGGGCACCATTAATAGGCCACAGAAGGAGAAAGTGCCCAATTACGCCTATGTTTTTCACATACTCGCCGATAACCTGGACAAACTGTAGAGCACCCTGAAGGCCACCTCCAAGGAGGTGGCTGACAAGAAGGGAGTATGAGTAGTAGACATGTAATTTTCTTAATTATGTTATGTTAATTATTATGACAGTGAGAATTTGCTTAATTATCATGCATGTCCATTGCTTTATTATCATTTTAGTTTTCTTATTATCTGTGTGCCTGCGCTCGTAAATGTATCGACGCATGAATCTCTTCGTTTTTCTCTTTCTTTCTTCGTTAGTTCCATTTTCTTGTGGGATGAACTGCCATCGAGGCGTTGCCAGGTACGAGATAACAAAGCAATATCATACGGCGGTTCCCAGATACAAACCAACACTCCACTGGCGGCAAGGACTAGCCATAGACTTAGAGGCCAAGAACGATGCAGCACCTCGCAAAACTTCATCGTCAGTGAGGTGCTCTACCTTCCATCTTGCAACCGTCACAGTCAAGGGATGCAGATCTGCTTCTTGACGTGTGAGATGCAAGATGGTATATAAACCACCCAATCTTGAAGGAGCACCTCGCAAACTTGAACCCCAGTGTTGACGGTCACTAACACTCATTTTGACAATCAACATTTCACCCAAAAGCAACATAAAGTGAGAAAAATCATCATCACATGTGTTGAATTTTGTTTATAATTCACCTAGTTCCACTTGTACATGGAGAATTATTTTTATGCAGGAATTATAGCAAAAATAGTGCAAAATATGCACATAGGAGGCAAATGGACGTGGTAGGGGGACCATAGGCCCACATGCCACATCGGCCAGCCCCACCTTGGCGTCGCCCGATGGCCCAAGTGGACTTGCCACATCACTGATCCGTGGGAGAGGTCCTCCAAGCCTTCTCTACCACCGATCCTATGTCGGTTTGCACCAAAGGGCGAGATGGAGTGGTCTTGGATCCCTGGGACCACCGTCATACACTTGGATGCCTCCAACTGACCTTGGAACCGCCTTACCGGCCAAATCTTCGCACGTGCTATCTTCACAACCGCCTTTGGGAGCCAACCAAGGCCCTACAATCGAAAGGTGACGCGATCCTACGCCATCCGACACCCCCCCTACATCGCCTGGCGCCCAAGTTTCTCCACTGACCCTCTCCACGCTCTATAAGTACCCCCACTGCCTCTCCACACTATAAAAGGGGTAGTGGTGCTCGGTGGAGAAGTGCCCCATTCATTTCCAAGCATTCCAAGCTTCTCCAAGCTCTCTAGCTTAGTGTAGCTCTAGAGTAGTAGCTTAGGAGTAGAAGTAGAGCTAGAGCGGAGCTTCTCTCAGAGTCTGAAAGAGTCTTCTGGGTCTGGTATAGCTCCTTTGTAATTCTTTTATTTAGCATTTACTTTATTCAGTACTTTATTTAGTATTATTGATTTGCTTTATTCAAGTACTTGTTCATTATTGTTTATCATTAGTGAGCTTAGGTGCTTGTGTCTTGGCATTAGTATCATAGGTTATCTTCTATTTAGTAGTCATTCATTTGTATCGATTCCACCATCTGGCTAGGGCGCTTTATTCTCATTTCATCGGAGCTCGAATTGAAGTAGTAAGCTTATAGATTAAGCTAGGTGCTTAGGCTATAAATTACCTGTGGATACGGCTAGGCCTCTGAATAGATTGTGGTAGTTGGCAAGTGGTGACAGCATTATCCATCCTCTGTATTCCACCACGATAGGTCTAGTTATTAAATCATAGGGCTCATGGCAGACCTTGTCTATTTAACTCTCCTAGTTGGTAGGCGGGCTGTGCCCCGACGTATTAGCGCATTTCTCCTAGTCACTTGTTTACCCTTTGTTACTTAAGATAAATTGCTCGCTCTCCCACCTAGCTAACCTACCTCTAGTTTAGCTTGATTATTGGTTCACCCATTCGTGCACTTACATACACCATTTAGGATACATTAGGCTTTCCTTTAACAATCCTAACAATAAAATATAACTTAGCCTTCCGCCTTCCTTCGGAAAATATAAATTCGACACTCGGTACTCACCGAGCGAAGTGCTACACGATATTTTTGTATGCTTACGGAATTCCTACACTAGACGTTAAGAACTATCAACACCCAGCACCATCTAAGTGAGGTGCTTTATCTCACGCCTGTATAGCCAAGGAAAATACTACGATACTTAAAAATGGAGGGAGTAACAAGCATCACAGTCATTCAGTTATTAATTATTTTTAAGGCAAAAACTATACATAAACGATACAGTAACAAGAATCACAGCCATATGAGGAAAATTTTCATTGATAACTTCAGTTACATTCTATAGTTGTATAATAATAAAGACCTATCGAAGGCTACTGGGTGTACAATAATAAAGACATATCGATTGATAAACTATCGAGTATGGAGCCCAACAAAAGATCTGCAATCATCAAGGTGCTCTCCTATAGAGCACCCTGATGACCTACTAGGCCTGAGATAACGAGAGCAAGGACAAGGTAGCACCTCACAAAACTTCCACCAACATCTCAATGAGGTACTTTATCTTCCTTGTTGCACCTCTCAGTGTCGAGAGGCAAGCAATGGAAAAGTGGAAGAGAAGCGTCGCTGTTGTCGCTGCTGCTCCAGAAGAAGGAGGAACGTCAGGGCGCTGGAACACTGATGAATTGGCACCAGCAGCGACCCCCCCTTAATCGCAAAACTTCCACTAGCACCTAGATCGAGTAGCCCCCGCTGCGCCTAGATGTCAGTTGTACCCAATCTTGAAGGCCTTCTCCCAACATCGTTGCTACCGTTGGAGGAACTAGACAAGGAGCGCCATGGCGATGAAGAAAAAAAAGATGGTTGGCTTAAGAGCTTTGTCGATCTGTATCTATTCTAAAGGTTTCAAGGAGGAAGAGTGCGTGGATTGCCCAAGAGGTGCATCCAGAGCCAGTTGAAATAGGCCAACCTTGAAGATGAAGAAGTGAAAAGGAGCAGTTAAGATGCATGAGTCTAAGCATACGCTTTAGGGAAGACGAGGTATGCCGGTTCCCGACGGAAGTGGTGAGACGGTGTTGGAAGTTGGGACATTCAACACTCACACTTAATTTACTGCCGGTAGACCAAACGATCGTGTAGAGCTGGCGGCATAACACATCTTAGTCGGCTCGGCGTTCCAAACGACGGTGGAATTCAACCCCACTATCACCTCCGCATCGATGGTTTAACCGTTGGTGCTAGAAGTTTCATCTTCTGGTTTGATTCCTTTCCAAGCCTCGCTATCGATCCAATCGATGGTGGAAGCATCACATAGTCGCTTCTGTCTTCTATGGCAGTGAGAATAGTGACAATGATCGCTCAATCTGTAGTTGTGTCTCTGGACCTTCTTAAGTGCATCTAGTCACCAGTTGGCTCATGTCCACTCACCTCGGAGTATTTGGGGTTTGTATGCGTTTCGTTGGGTTGCTTGGGACACAGGCTGGTTTTTGTCAAAAAAATTTAATCGGCTCACATTCACCCCTCTCTGGTCGTCTGCTCGGCCCTTCAGTCTAACACATCTTAACAAATATGTTAGTTCTAGTGATTGTGTTGTCGCCACTATCACCAAAATCTCAATCAAATTATGGCCACGGGCACACAATTCTTACCACATATATACATATACAGCAGGACGACAAGTATTATACATCGGCTAGGTCAGCTATAAATCAAGGTTTTAAATTTTCGGCTATAGCTGTTTGAGAACGGTTTAGTTAAGTTTTTTCATGTATAATTTAGCTCTTAGTTGTCGCTATAGCCGGCCTGTTTTGAGACATATAGGGTGTGTTTGGTTGGATGGCTTAGGGGCTAGCTAGGCTTACGCAATGCAAATGCAACTTCTTCATGTTTAGACGGTTGCACAAGTGCTAAGCCAGGCTACAGAAAGCCAAAAAGGGGGGAAGAGGCTGGCTTGCTGATAACGAGCAGGGGGGGTCGTTTCCAGCAAGCCAGGCTTGGCCAAGAACCCCATCGGTATCGCCTCACCTCTGAGCACCGCCTCCCCGTCCGTGTCCGAGATCCGGCATCCTCCGCTCGTCGTCCCCACGTCCGGCACCGCCTCCCCGTCCGTGTCCCCGGCTCGCGTGCCGCGGCGGCAGACCACCCCGGCCCCTCGATGATGAGCTCGCGCGGGCGGCGTGGCGGTGGGCTCGCGCGGTGGGCCGGATGTCGTGGCCGACGTGAAGTGCAGCGGCGCCGGAGGAGGACGAGGAGGTCCAGCCCACCACATGAAGAAGAGCAGCGGCATCGGCGTGCACGTCGTCTTCCCTGTGCTGCGGTCGTGGTCCGTCGAGGTCATCATCTCCCCTGTGCTGCGGATCTTCTCCCTCACCACGTGAGGCTGCAGGGCCGGCAGTGGAAGAGGAAGGAAGATGACGGCGCCGGAGGAGGCCCAAGCTGACGAGCGGAGGATGCGGATCTCGCTAGCTCTCCTCGACCCCTCCCCTCCATGCCTCGCGCCGCGCCCCCGCACCGGCAGAGGAGGAAGCGCAGAGGAGATAAAATCGGAGGCTGTCCGTGCTGGGCTGCACCACGGCCACGTGCAGCTCTACCCTCACCGGCCAAGCGCCGAGGTTGCTGTCTGTGCTGGGCTGGCTGACCTCCGGGCATGAGCGGAGGAGCAGAGCATCCGTCGCGCTACTCCATCTCGGTGTCACCCATCCTTCCAGTTCCGGCCATGGCGAGGGGGGCGGAAGAGGAGCCCACCATCCTTCCTGAAGCACGGGGGCGAGCAGAGGCACCGCAGCCCCGGCCATGACGAGGGGGCGGAAGAGGAGCCCAGCAAGGGCGCGACCGGTAACATGCCTACTAAGTGTTTTGACAAAATGCACCAAAAGGTAACCATACCATCGGAGGGATACGGTGATTGCATGCAGAGAAAAGCAGCCAACCAATCACGTCATTTCTAACACTTGACAGGGAACGCAACCAAACAAGTGTATCTTATACTATATAAGCCATGCTAAGGCTATGTTTAGTTAGTGAAATTTGATAATTTGGCTACGGTAGCATTTTCATTTTTATTTGGCAATTAGTGTCTAATCATGGACTAAATAGACTCAAAACGTTCGTCTAGCGATTTTCAACCAAACTGTACAATTAGTTTTTTTCGTCTACATTTAATATTCCATGCACGTATCGCAAAATTCGATGTGATGGCTACTGTACCACTTTTTGGAAAGTTTTTTTAGAACTAAATACGGGCTAAAGTTACCTAGGCTTAGTTTTGCTAGCCAGGCTTGAAGAGGAATTGAACCAAACACACCCATAGATAGCTAAATGTCTTAGCCGGCTATTTAAAATATAGCTATATATTATATATCGGCTAGGTTGGCTATAAATAATATGGTAACAATATAGACTGGGCTCCGTTATAAGCCATATGCTCTAAGACGTATTTTGCAGCATACGTTTTCCAAGGTACATGATAGTTTGTGCGTGTAGTCTACAGGTAGCTGGAGCAGCACCAATACCTCATCATTTCTGCTCAATATTCTCTTGCTTAGATGGAAGCCGTTTTCTCAAGGAGGAAGCAGTGCGTAGTAGATAATGTCAGGGAGGCGACTACTTCCTTTCCTTGTCCCTTCTTTCCATCCTCGTCCCCACTAGCCCTTGCATATATATAAATCTAATAAGCCATGCATTATTCTATCCATGTACATAGATAGACAATCATACATACATATATATATAATAAAGTTTTAAATTCCGGTCGTCGTGTTCCAGGAAGCACGTACAGCCCAGAGAGTCGTCGTTGCCACGTTCTTGAGCTCCCCCAACAGCAAGAGAGAGAGGCTGTGAGAAAAGACAACCCAAACCCAATGCTGGGGCAGTCGATGACAACACAGTCTTGAAAAGAGACCAGGCAACCTCTGCCCTTCTTCGTCTTCTCATATCCTCTCCTTGCTTTTCTGGCGCAAATGCGGCATGGGAATTGAGACGCATTGCCTGGTCGATTGGCTCGCACTGGTTCTCGCGCTGCGCGTTTGGTTCTTGGCCTGAATTTTGGAGGTGGTACCTGCGGCTTCCTGATTCTGATTCAAGGTATGGTTCTATGTCTGCTTCTTATCTGCTTTCTGCATTGTTGTTCACGATTCCTGTTTGGACCTTCAAATGGCCCCTCGTAATATGCTCGAGAAGAAAGGAAGTTTCCATTAATTCAGTTCTCCCCTTAACTAGAGCTTAACTAGAACCGGATGGAGAGACAAATCTAGACTTCAGTTTAGCTCAATGCACCTTCTTCTGCTTGACTATTTCAATCTTTCTAAGAGGCGTAGCAGAACAGAGCTGTGTTTTTCCCCTTCTGTAATCTGTGCCCACAATGTTGTATGTATCCCATGTTTTTTTTAAAGAAAACGGATACGCTGAGTTCGTGATCACAGCTAGCAGCAACGGTAGACGGAGCAATCCTCGTCTCGAATTGGATCTGTTGTGCAAAATTACTATGACTCACGCTCATGATGTTGACATACTGAAAATGGTGCTTCAATCAGAATTCAACCATATGACATGGCATGGATCAATGAATTTTCATGAAAAAAAATGAACCATTTTTCTCGCTCTGTTTAGAATCAAATCTTGTGTTCCTCACAATGGTGGTGTTGTTTCAGCCAAGAAATCAGTTAGGAGTTGACTTCCAACTGAAATCATGCCTATCAACAATCATGCCTGGATGCTTCTTTTTTTTTTGGGGGAACAATTTGGCGCTAACTGCTTCCCTCCAATCTCATCTCTTGCAGGTCCGACAGAATGAGAACTCTGCTCCAGGCTCCTGCCGGCGCCGCCGTTGGCAGCATACCAAACACGTTGGCGAACCCGGGCTCTCGCCTCCCTCCCTCCTCGCCTTCGACGCTGACCGGCTCCACACCGCCGCCTACCGATACGTCTTCTTCTTCTTCTTCCACTCCTCCGTCGTCACCGTCCTCTGCTCCGACACCACCTTTCCCGTCTTCTCCTACTCCGTCGCCACCTTCCCCTTCGACACCACCGGCTGCTGCACCACCTCCTCCTTCACCGGTTGCCATTGCCAGTACCCCTCCGCCGCCTGAGGCATCGTCTCCGCCCCCACCGGCCGCATTGCCTCCCCCACCACCAGCCACATTGTCGCCCCCGCCACCGGCGCCAGTTCCCACGGCCACGCCGCCGCCTCCGCCTCCGCCCGCCGTCGCACCGCCCCCACCGGACATTGCCGCGCCCCCTCCTTCCACCACGCAGGCGTCGCCACCGCCCTCCGCTCCCCCACCGCGGCGGTCCCACGCCACGCCGCCTTCTTCAAGCCTGTCTCCTCCGCCACCCGCGGCGCAGCAAACCCCGTCTCCCGTGGCCGCCACGCCGCCACCTGCAGTTCACTCCCCCGTGGATTACGCCGCTCCTCCGCCGGCGCGGACGAGCTCAACCCCCGCCAGGCACTCACCTACGGCAGTTGATACTAGTGCCACCAAGGCGCCGCCGTCCAGCAGTAGCGGGCTGAGCTCTGGCGCTACGGCTGGCGTGGCGATCGTAGTGGTGATCATCGTCCTCGGCTTCGCTGGCGTGTTCGTCTGCCTGTCGAAGCGGCGGAGGCGGAAGCAGGCCGACCGTTACTACGCTGGCTTCGCCATGCCATCGTACACGCCGCAGCACCTGTCCAGCGAGGCGCCGTTCCTGCGCGCGCCGTCTGCGCCGGGGCCGATGAACTTCAGCATGGGCAGCGGAGGCGGCGGCCCTGGCATGTCGACGCCGATGAGCCAGACATACGGTCAGCAGCCGTGGGGTGCGTCGTCGGCCAAGTACAGCGCGACGGCGGGGAGCCAGGGCCCCGCGCGAAGCGTGGCGACGTCGGCGTCTGGCGACCTGAGCGTGGGCAACACCAAGGCGTTCACGTTCGACGAGCTTTACGACATCACCGCCGGGTTCGCGCGCGAGAACGTGCTCGGCGAGGGCGGGTTCGGGTGCGTGTTCAAAGGCACGCTCGGCGACGGAAAGGTGGTGGCCGTGAAGCAGCTCAAGGGCGGCGGTGGGCAGGGCGAGCGCGAGTTCCAGGCGGAGGTGGAGATCATCAGCCGCGTCCACCACCGCCACCTCGTGTCGCTCGTCGGCTACTGCATTGCCGAGGACCACCGCCTCTCGTCTACGACTACGTCTCCAACAACACGCTGCACCACCACCTCCATGGTAACAAAACTTTCTTCTTTTACTTCATTGTATGTATGTATGTAAAAACCAATAGTTCCTACTAATGACTGAATGCCACACTGTCTGTCACTCGATCGTGTAGGGAGGGGGAGGCCGGCAATGGATTGGTCGACGAGGGTCAAGATCGCGGCGGGCTCAGCGCGTGGATTGGCCTACCTCCATGAGGATTGTAAGATCGATGGACGCTGTTTGGACTTGAGTTTTTCATAGTTTGATGTGTCAGAACTCAGATAATGGAGATTGATCTTGATGTTTGGTTATCGTAGGTCATCCAAGGATCATTCACAGGGATATCAAGTCATCAAACATCTTGCTTGATGACCAGTTTGAGGCTCAGGTCAATTTGTCATCCCACCAAATTTCAATATTTCAGAACTCTGAACGCTGATGATATATACTTGAATGGTTGTCAGTATGTTCAGCTCCTGATGATGCTTTCAATGATCAGGTAGCTGATTTCGGGCTCGCGAGGCTAGCGGAGAACGATGTCACACATATTTCAACTCGTGTTATGGGCACATTCGGGTAATGAATCTGTGCATATATATGCTAATCCCAGAAAAGAGGATAAAACAAAAGGAATAATTGTGATTATGCATCTCCGATGTACACAGGTACCTGGCTCCAGAGTATGCGTCCACAGGGAAGCTGACCGAGAAATCAGACGTGTTCTCCTTCGGTGTCGTGCTACTGGAGCTCATCACCGGCCGGAAGCCCGTGGATTCGTCGCGTCCCCTAGGCGATGAGAGCCTTGTGGAGTGGGTAAGCTCCTGCAGCAGCAGAACCACCACCCTCTGCAGCTATGCAAAGTCACTCTTGTACCAAGCATCGATAATGATAGCATGCTGCTTAATCATAACCCCATCGTATATTACATACAGTCGAGACCACTACTGAACCGTGCAATCGAGAATCAGGAGTTTGATGAGCTGGTCGAACCCCGGCTCGATGGGAACTTCGACGATGTCGAGATGTTCCGTGTGATTGAGGCGGCTGCGGCGTGCATCCGTCACTCAGCTGCCAGGAGGCCCAAGATGGGGCAGGTACATACTACTGAACACCGACAAAACCATAACCTGCACTGTAGCAAATCTGACAAACTGAATGTACACCAGCTATGCATAATGCACTGCTTCTTTACTTTACATGACCTGTTCGTTGCTCACCAAAATGTGCCTTCCTCCATTGGTTTCATCCAGATCGTCAGGGTCCTCGACAGCCTGACGGACGTTGATCTCAGCAACGGCGTGCAACCGGGGAAGAGCCAGATGTTCAACGTAGCCAACACGGCGGACATCCGGCAGTTCCAAAGGATGGCGTTTGGCAGCCAGGACTTCAGCTCCGATTACAGCCAGTCCAGGTCAAGCATAGGCAGCAGGAGGGACTTCTAGTCTTGAAATTAATCTGTAAAGCTTCTCCTCTCCACTGGCGCTCCTCCTAGCAGTTTCAGATGATTTTTGTTGTCACTGTATTTATTTTTTGTTATTCTCTTCACAGTGTCACTACTCTACTATCTTGTTTCATATATTTTTTGGTCTCTGTGCAAATTGAGATAAAATATATGTGAACATGAAAATGTATCATTGGCTATCCAGAATGATAGTTTTTTTTTTTGACTAAACTGGAGGGGCCGAAGCCCCTACAGAAATTTTATTGAATGCTTAAAGAACAGAGTACAAAACCCAAAGATAAAACAAAACAAAGAAGAACTTAAGACACAAAAAAGGAGAGGAAGAAAATTAAACTGAAAAGGGAAGTTATAACAGATTTTGGATCCATAAGTCAAAGATCAGAGAGTCCTTTGCTTTGACCCTGAGGGTCAGAAGTTTTATTTCCTTCAAGAAGACCTTCCTTGCCAAGCTCAACTTGTGGCTGATAGTTTTGGTATCTTCTCATATACAACAAAAAAAAAAACTACCTGATCGTTTTCCTTTATGTTACCTCAACTAGCCTCTCCAGTACTACTTAACAAAATTTATGACTATGAGCATCTTAATGTTGGGGTCTGTAATCGTGCATTGACGTGAGGCACCGACCGAATCCACACAGCATCTTCGTTGTATCAAAATGAGCCGACCAAACTCCTGAAAATGTTTTGAAACACAAAAACCAAAACATATGTTCTGGCGCACAGGATCATCAACCGTTTCCACTTCCACAGGTCAGCTAGCAGGTGCTAGCACATATCACAAACAACCATTAGTCGAAAAATGGACGACATCACTACCGCCTGGGCACGGGCACGAACCTGTTCGGAGCTAGGAATTTCAATACAGGACTCGAAGTTCGAATATGGATATTTTCCGACCGTATTCGAGACCGAATCCATTTAGAGGGGTTCAGATCTGTCCGTATCCAAATCTGGATATTCAACATCTGATACCATATTCGCATATTTATGATGTCAACATCCATCGTATCCTATCCGGCATGGTTGACATTATCCGTATTCGAATCCGAATCCGGACAGGAATATGAAAATAAATGTAATATCAGTGATATCCGTTCGTATCCGATCCGTTTTCATCCCTAATCACTACCACTGCACTCCACACTTATTTGTGAGTATATATATCAGATGTTATCGTTTTCTACCAAGATTTTGGAATCTTGTACTAAATGTTTCGAGCATTACATGTCTTAAATAAAAAAAATTCAACTGTAAAGTTTTAACCGTGATATAGGATGTCTCCATCAAAGATGGTTTAAAATTTTCAAAAATTTAAATATCAAAATATGAGAACTTAAAACAAATATTTGAGACTCTAAAAACTTATCAACTACAAACTTGTAGATCAGGTCAACCACTACAACTTTGGTATTAACCATGTGAATATTCATGGTGGTTTATAGATTCTAATTTTTAATTTCAAAATCTAATAACGTAAAGCACATAATTAGGATTCTAAGCAACTTGAAATCAAAGTTGTCAAGTACAAAGTTGTAGATTGTATTGAGAACTACAACTTTAGTATAAACAATGTCAACACATGAGATTATTTGACAATTTTAAATTTTAAATTTCAAAATCTGAGAACTTAAAATAAAATTTTGTGACTCTTAACAATTTCAATTAAAAAACTTATCAACTACAAAGTTGTGTAGATCATGTCAAAATCAACAATTTTGGTATAAAGTTTGTTTCATCTGAATTCATATGAAAAATTTGTGAAATATTTTTTATGCAACTATTTCTTAAGAGTGTCATATGATTTCTAGAGGCGGACTCTTAGAATGTCTGTCTCAGTTAAATGACCATTTTCAGAGGTGCACATATCTTAAGAATTCCGTTTTTGTTAATTAACAGAGGCGTGTGAATGTCTCTATAAATAGTCGATTAACAGAGGAGGCATTTATAGAGAACTGCCTGACCATTTACAGTGGGGGCACAAAAAATGCTCGCCTCTTTTAATTAGCAAGTTTTGTCTCCTAAATTTCTTTTAGTGGTTTTAACTGAACTTGAGAGGTATCCTACTCTGCACATGATTCTTCATCACCAGATCATGCCTAGTCAAAACAACATTTTGGCTTATTTCAAATTGTGTTGTAGTAGCGTATAATTATATTATGAGTAAAATCGAGTAGCGGTCCTTGAATTTGTTCGGCTATGTCATCCCGGTCCCTAAACTCGCAAATCGATCGTTTAGGTCCTCAAAACTTGTTCATCTGTATCATCTCGGTCCCTAAACTTGCAAATCACTCGTTTAAGTCCTCAAACTTGTTCGACCGTGTCATCTCTGTCCCTAAACTTGAAAATCATCTTTTAGGTGCTCAAACTTGTTTAGTTGTGTCATCTCGGTCACAAAATTAGATTTACATTTTTTGGAAAGTTCTATAAATGTATTATTGAATTTACAACATTTAGGGACCAGGATGACACAGCTGAACAAGTTTGAGGACCTAAACGGGTAATTTGCAAGTTTAGGGATTGGAGTGACATAGTCAAACAAGTTTGAAGATCTAAACGAGTGATTTGTAAGTTTAAGGACCTAGATAACAGAGATGAACAAGTTTGATGACCTAAACAGTCAATTTGCGAGTTTAAGGACCAGGATGACACAGCCAAACAAGTTTGAGGACCGTCAATGGACTTTACTATTATATTATCTATCAGATCAGGAGTGAACAGGTTCCTACAACTCGTTGTCCTAGTGGCCAATTTTTAAGGATAAGTCTCTTGGACCTGTTGGCGATAAAAAATGACTCGGAGGTGTAGAGCGACTTTTGGACAATGTTTCCAACATAAAAGCTTTTATGTCAACAACAAGAGTGCTAGAGCTCTTTCACATTGACTTATTTGGACCAACAACTTACAAGAGTTTTGGAGAAAATCTTTATTGTCTTGTGATTGTTGATGACTACTCTAGATATACATGGGTGTTCTTCCTTCATGACAAGACCGAAGTTGTATCATGTTTCAAGAAGTTTGCCAAGAGAGCACAAAATGAGTTTGAAGTGAAGCTCAAGAAGATAAGAAGTGATAATGGAAAAGAGTTTGACAACACAAACATTGAAGCTTATTGTGATGAAGTTGGGATCAAGCATGAGGTCTCTCGCAACATATACTCCTCAACAAAATGGTGTAGTTGAGAGAAAGAACCGGACACTTATCACACTTGCTAGATCAATGCTTGATGAGTACAACACACCCGAAGCTCTATGGGCGGAAGCTATCAACACCGCATGTTATGCATCCAACCGCCTATTCCTTCAAAAGTTTTTGGCAAGACACCTTATGAGTTGCTCAATGGGAAGAAGCCGAACGTCTCATTCTTCCGGATGTTTGGTTGCAAATGCTACATCTACAAGAAGCGGCAACATCTGGGGAAGTTTCAAAGACATTTTGATATTGGCTTTCTTGTTGGTTACTCATCAAAATCCAAAGCATATCAAGTATTTAATAATGCCACTGGCTTGGTTGAAGAAACAAATGATGTGGAATTTGATGAATCTAACGGCTCCCAAGGAGCACATGAGAATCTTGATGATGTAGGTGATGAACCATTGAGGGAGGCTATGAAGAATATTCTGGTTGGAGACATCAAGCCAAAAGATGATGAAAATGATGTACAAGTGATTGATCCACCTTCTTCATCAAATGTGCCACAAGATGGTGATAAAGATGGGAGAGTAGAAAATGAAGATACTCATGTCTCTCATGATCAAATGGTGGTACAAGCATAAGATGTTGATGCTCCACAACCTCCCCCTCAAGTGGTTGATAGAAGAAATTCACCTCTACTACAAGTTCATCCACAAGATCTCATCATAGGGAGTCCTTTAAAGGGTGTAATGACTCGATCTCAAAAACTTGCTTCATTTATTAAATATCACTCTTTTGTCTCTTGTGTTGAACCTAAGAATGTAGAAGAAGCTCTTCAAGATTTGGATTAGATAAATGCCATGCATGAAGAGTTGAACAACTTCACTCGCAATGAAGTTTGGACTCTTGAAGAGCGACCACAAGGTGCAAGAGTCATTGGAACAAAGTGGGTGTTCCGCAACAAGCAAGATGATCAAAGCGTTGTAGTAAGAAACAAGGCAAGACTAGTTGCAAAGGGGTTCTCTCAAGTTGAAGGGTTAGATTTTGGAGAGACCTTTGCACCGGTTGCAAGACTTGAAGCCATTCATATCCTCCTTGCATATGCATCGCATCATGAAATGAAATTATATAAAATGGATGTTAAAAGTGCATTTTTAAATGGCTTCATAAATGAACTAGTCTATGTTGATCAACCTCTTGGGTTTAAAGACCCTAGATATCCTAATCATGTTTATAGGTTGTCCAAGGCTCTATATAGGCTTAAGCAAGCCCCAAGAGCATGGTATGAGCGCCTTCGGGATTTCCTTATTGAGAAGGGGTTCATCATTGGGAAGGTCGACACCACACTATTCACCATGAAGCTTGATGGAGAAATCTTCATTTGTCAAGTATATATTGATGATATCATCTTTGGATCATCAAATGAAGATTATTGCAAAGAGTTTGGTGAATTGATGTCGAAGGAGTTCGAGATGTCAATGATTGGAGAGCTTATATTCTTTTTTGGTTTCCAAGTCAAGCAAATGAGAGAATGGATTTTCATCTCTCAAGAAAAGTATACCAAGGATCTTCTCAAGAGGTTCAATATGGATGAATGTAAGTCAATCAAGACACCAATGCCATCTAATGGACATCTCGACCTAGATGAGGGAGGTAAAACGGTTGATCAAACTCTCTACCGCATCTAGGCCCGACATCATGTTTAGTGTGTGTATGTATGCTAGATTTCAAGCTAATCCTAAGGAAGCTCATTTGGTAGCCGTTAAAAGAATCCTTAGGTACCTTAAGCACACACCAAGCATTGGTCTTTGGTATCCCAAAGGAGCTAGATTTCAATTAGTTGGCTAT